CCTTATATCATGAAACATGAGTTTTGTGGAACAAAATTGCAGCCGTATTTAGTGAATTTAAGCACGGTAAAGCTCATTTCCGACTTGGGGGAAGTGACGTGACACGTCATCCATCCGGTCGTTAGCTTAAAATTTAGCATCGCTAGCGTAGTTCAAAAGCATCGTTGTATGACGGTCTTTAAACTCAAACGTGGCGAACTTTCAGCGAATATGCTTCGAAGAATGTAAACAGCGTTTCAGAACACAGCTTTAATGCGCTTTCCAGCGTTAAAAAGCAGATTTTATTCCCTATGAAAACGAATTTCATTTCCGGGTGGCGTGATTGACACGTCCCTCATCCAATGAGAACGTTACACACGGTCTTTTGCAACCAATGACGCAGCGTAGGGGTGAGGGGAGGTGACGTCAGTCAACCTTTCTCAGCAAATCAGAGCTTTCCAAAGCAGCAAACAACCAACCACGAAGCGTTAGCAACCATGTTAATTTAGCTTGAAACTCTTTCATCACTTATCGTCTTTTAAACCATCAAAATGCACTTTCTCTGCTAAAAATGTAACGAATCAACCCCTGAGCTGCCCGGAGTCTGCTACTCCGGTCTCAAAACGTCTTTCTAGCTATTTAAAACAACTCGTTCGAAGCTCCAGAACCGAGTCGGAACCACAGAACCGAACCGGACCAGAACAGCGTCAGAACACAGTTTAAACAGAATAAAGCGTTTCCACAGCTCAAAGCCAGCTTATGTTACACATACAGACGTACAATTCAGCTTTATAAAGACTCAATGACACAATTTCAGCTTTTAAAACATCGCCAGCGTAACACAAGCGCGCAGCTCCAATTGCGCTGCGTAAAGACGCACGGTTTCATCACAGCAGATAAACTGTTATTTTACAACCTTGCCAACATGAAAATCAATGTGTACACGGTTACAGTCCATTTAGGAGCGCGTAGCGGGCCACCAGTTGTAGATGAACAGATGCTGGGATATATTCATCATTTAACGCGGGTTCCTCATTTTTCTGGACTGAATAAAACGTGCATTGAATTTAAGGAAATGCAAACGTGAGACGTCATTTAGATTTGACCCATCAAAATGAATGCGGTCATTTATTTACAGAATCAAATTTAACATCAAACATGTACATTAATTTGGCAAATTATGAAAATAACAACAAAGCAATCAACCAGGAAAAATCATACGGCCATGATTTTTCCGTTGCTGCACCAAAGACATTTATGAAAACTGTACAACTATGATCTTTTGCCCACATGAATGTGGGTGAGCATTTTACACAGACATTTCTAAATATCTGGAAGAATTTCTACTTGATAGAAAAGTTTAAAGATGGGAAGAAGTTTAGAGGGAGTTAAGATGGTATGTGAGGGAAATTAAGTGTTCACCAGAACCGACACTCTCCATCAGAAGCCCAGCTCGCCTCGGTACGCTTGGTAGGAAACTTGACCCATTACCTTTCTGATGATAATCAGCAGATATGGTGTTCCGTTAACGCTACCGGTCCAGCGTCTCCTTAGAATGGCTGTAGCTCGTCAGAAGTAGTGGCGAGGCTCTGTTCGACACACATTCACCTCAGTGGAAAATGTTATAATCCCATGGAACTCGGAAGAGCTTTGTTGTCATGTCAGGAACTCCAACAGCACTCCATCAGAACTCCAGAACTCTAGAAGTCTGACAACTCTCCAACTCTGTGAGTCTGTAACTCCGTGAGTCTGTGTAGACCAGGAAGTACTGACATTTTAAAGACTCTTTCCCGGTTCACTTTTTGGGATTTTTCATTGGTCAGAAACGACCAGAAGGGGTGTGTTTTTGTGACGTAATAGGTTAGAGACAGCGAGAATTGTTATGAGACAGGTCAGAAATGTTCTCACAGACCGAGAGGGTTTTGTTGTGGCGTGTTTAAGAAACAGGTGCAAAACATCTCTATTTACGTCTGAGAGGATTCTAAAACATGACAGTTTTAACATAACAACTTGTTTTTCGTTTGACTGTAACCTTGTAAACGCACACACTTGCTCATTCAAAAGCAGAAATCAGAAAAATGCATAATTACTCTGCAACAGCTTTTAACATGAGTTCTAACTTTTGCATGAGAATAAAAATCATTACTCAGTTAATAAAATTGATTAGTTCACTGCAACATCTAAAATGGTTTGAACTAAGACACTTTGATTATCAACATTTGTAAGATAGTAATGATAATAAAAAGAGAGTGTTCTTTTCACTTGAATCTTCAAGAAAGAAAGTCTCAGGATGGGTGAACCTGTATTTATGGATTCAAATACATGAAATGACAGCTTCTGTCCCACAAGGTTCTAAAGGTCAAGAGTTTTGACCTTAGACTTAGTTTCGACGTAGGCCTAGTCCACTACAAGTTCATGATTGCTGTTTTTATTGTTACTAATCAGTTCATAACTGCTGTTACCAATCAGTTCATTTGGTTACTAATCAGTTCATTTTGTTATTAATCAGTTCATATTGAAGATCTGTTGACCTGCTCTGTTCATCGTTACACGGTTACAATTCATAACCTCTGTTTTTTCCATTCTCAGCAGCAGGACTGCGTTTCAGCTGTCCCTTTTTCCCCATCGGAGACCTTTTCTCTCGGGGGCGCTGCTGTGCATGGAACATGTAATTACGCAGTGTGTAATTACGCACACAGAAGGCTGAGTGATGAAATGTTTTTTGGTGCAAGCGGGTGCTTCATATTGTGTCTGAATGGACCCAGTGAGGCATAGACTACATCCTGCTTCGCCTTTAACCCACTAGCAATAGCCTTAAAGAGCGAAGCCTATACAAAATAGAATGTTGGTTACATACTGTAACCCCAGATTCTATGAGTATAGGTGCAGCCCTTTAAGCTCTGGGCCTCACTGGTTCCTAAATGGCTGAAGAAAAAAGCTATTTGGGAGCCGATTACCTGGTCTCACCGTAATTTATATGGACCGGGGGTGAGGCCCACACAGCAGGTGGGCGTGGACTAAAGTGTTCAGTGCTGCCGCGCGAAGGGATAAACCCACTAGCAATAGCCTTAAAGGGCTGCGCCTATACTCATAGAATCTGGGGTTACAGTACGTAACCAACATTCTATTTTGTATAGGCTTCGCTCTTTGCCACTGTGCCACCAACGATTTTGAGGGTGGCACAGTGGCTCAGTTGGTAGAGCTGCTGCCTCTCAGCGAGAAGGTCATTGGATCAAATCCTTGCCGGGATCTTTCTGTATGAAGTTTTCATGTTCTGTACATGTATGTGTGGGCTTTCTCAAGGTACACTGGTTTCCTCCCACAGGCCAAAAACATACATGTTAGGCTGATTGGTAACTCTAAATGGTCCCTATGATGGACTTGCGACCTGTCCAGGGTGTCCCTCACCTCTCACACAGTGATTGCTGGATATGGGCACCACGCAAATTGAAAAGGTAGAAGTGGGTAAAGATAATGGATGGATGGATGGATGAAAAGGATTTTGAAGAAACACAAGAGACAGCCTCTTTGGAGGGTAAATGTGTCAAGATCAGCGGCCTCTGCTTGCCTCCCATCTGCTCACGTCTCTGCCCCTTCATGCCATGATCACGTTCTCTGTTCCCTGCCTCGCTCACGGCCCCTCATGTCATGTTTCTGCTCCTCTTTGTCATCATTTTCTGTTTCCTTGCTTGTCATTCAGCCATGACCCCTCTGCACTTTCAGCTCATCAGCCTGATTCACTGCATCTGTCCTGTTCCCTATTTAAACCTCATGCTCTCACTCACTCTTTGCCAGATTATTATACCTCACATGGTCCATGATATCCAGCCATCTTGTTCACCCCTGACATCCATGCTTTGTATTTGGAGTTTCGACCTCATGCCTTGTCTTGTGGATTTACTGTTTTGCCTGTTGCTCATCTGGTTCTGCTCTGCCCTTCTGATCATGGTAACGACCTCCTCTTCTGTCTCTATAACCATGGATCACCCTCTTTTTGGATTATCCTTGGACTTCAGACTCTGTGTTTGACCCTTGCTTTTCCCATTAGACCACAACATTGCCCCACTGTTCACAGCATTAAAGGCCTCCCTCTGCAGCTGTCTTCCCACCAGTTTATGTGACATAATCTCACTAAACTCTGACAGGTGGCTCTCACCCCACCTGCCTGTGAAGACCTGTTACTGCAGTTGGACTCTGATTTCCCCAGCAGCTGCAAATCAACCAAAAAAGTGTTTTCTTTGTTTTACCATTCTTGTTGTATGAAGTGGCATTTTAATTTGAGATTTTGACACAATCACTGTTTAAAAGTGTCCCTGGGTAAGACATTGGACCCCTAAATGCCTCAGATGTGTGTCCCATCAGTGTATGAATGTGATAAAGCTCTGATTATTCTTTCTATAGATCTAGTAGAGCACTGTATGAATGGATAAATGAGGACACAGACTGTGATGTAAAGCACTTTGAGTATCTTGATCAGATAGAAAAGCGCTATAAGTGCAGTGCAGTCCATTTTTTAAAGGTTTTATAAGTCTAATTTTATGATGACAATGATAATTCTATTTTTTTTTCTCAAAACGAGTGACAGTTGATGTCACGCACTAACTTTTGAGCTGTCTAAAAACTCACATCCCTTAAATTTATTTATTTATTCTTTCATCTTAGAAACATAACTCAGATATGTGACACCAGTCTTTTGCTCACAGTTCCAAAAAATATCAAGATCTGACATTTAATTTTCACACAGCGATTGACACTTCTCTTTAAGTTTGCATATTTTTCTGTCTTTCATTAACTTGGCACTCAGGGAGTCAAACAGACAAGTTGGTGGTTACCTTGGTGACCATTGGCAGCAACATTTCTATCTATCTCTGCTCTCTTTGCACTCCTTTTACAGCTTAAAACCCAACATTAGTGTATTTATCTTTGGCTTAGGTTGTTATACAGTTAATGTTTTTAAAACTGGGACAGTAGCAGCATCTGCATATGTTGCTGATGTGTGTATTTTGGTGTGTTCAACTTACCTCGGTGCGTAGTTGCATATAAAAATAGCCCCTGCATCAGTAGTAAAGTGTTTGACACCCTTTGGGCACAGCTGGACAGCACAGCCAACCTTGTTGCTTTCAGCCCACACAACCTTTAAAAGACAGTGTTAGGAAAAGAACAGATTGTAGACGGAGGTGTCTCAAAAACTGACACTGTAGCATGTTCTATGAGTAAGGGTTTCTCATACCTGAGTGTAATGGCCACAGACATGTTGACAGCTGTTCTCATGGTAGTTATAATGTTGAATTTCATTCACCCAACTCTGTATGGCACCTTTTACGCCAAAAGTTGATGGTGGGGCACCTGTCCATATGTTTTCTCCAATGGAGGTTAAAGTAGGGTTAACACGGCTGATGTTTTTACGGTAGATGTTGTGTCGAAACTCACAGCGACTTGCCCATTCTCTTGCAGTAATAGCCAAATCCTTGTCCCATGTCTGAATAAGCAGAAACCATGTCATTTGTATTAATTTTTTAATGTGACAGCCTACATAATTGAAAGGCTAGTATTTATATTTTATGAATGCATGCAGTATTACTTAAGGCCTTTCATGTCAGAGTTTTGAGTAAGAATTATCTTATGATAGAAAGGAATGGCGTGACAGCCACTTTAATCAACTTGTAAATGACTATGCACAGTCATGCACATCTGCTGTGAAGTCTAGTGAGATGTGTTAGTGCTGAGAGCATGTGTTGGGGATAATATCCCATTTTAACTCAATATCTGTAAAATTGACATAGATATTTTTGTGTTGGCTAACATTGACTAGCTGTGATTTGGTCTATACTCATATTGAAATAGACTGACTCCAAAACATAATTGGTTATAAATGTACACCAAATGACTACTTGCTGCAGTTTGTCTACTGGTTCATGATATATTTTGGTAACAGACAAACTCTGATACACACAGAGACAAGAGCCAAAATATTATTGTCCACCTTCACCTTTTGGTAGCCAGCAGTAAAAGTGGAAAGATGGTGCCATGACCTCAAACCTGCCAGGAGAGGTGCAGCCACAAAACCCCACAGAACAGGTAAGGAGGGCATTAATTGGAGAAACAACCAATAGACTAAAGATAACCATGATGGACATGGAGGATCTGTTCAAAGAACTACTAGAAATTGCACAGAACTGGCTTTCATGAAACAATGACAGAAATAGGGCAATGACTAAAGAAATGTCAAGATGGATCATTTGAAATTTCCTCAGAAGGTGTTATGGTCAGAAAAGACTATTAATGAATATTTTGATTATTATGATAGCACAGTGTAGGAGAGCTTATAGTGAAGAATGATGGTGGCAGTGGTGGTTATCATCATCAGGGACTGAGAAACTGGTCATTGTTCAAGGAAAGATGAATGGAGCAAAATACAGAGAAATTCTTGAGAGAAACTTACAAAGATTTGGGATTGGGACTGAGGTTCACCCTCTAGCAGGAAAATGGCCCTAAATGAGTTGCTGACAACATTCCAGAGGTTAAAGAAGAATCAGTTAAAGGTCACTGAATGGGCCGGATAAAGCCTAGACCACATTCTAATGGCGCTTTGCAATTTTCTCAACTCTCATCGGTTCTGCAACACACTGCACCAGTAAAGGGCCTGCCCACTGCTGGTAAATAAATAAATAAATCTTTACCCGCTTATTCCATTTTGGGTCACGGGGGTCGCTGGTGCCCATGTCCAGCAATCACTGTGCGAGGGGCGGGGTACACCCTGGACGGGTCGCAAGTCCATCACAGGGACACATAGAGACAAACGAGACAAACAAACACTCACTCTCTCATTCACACCTAGGGACAATTTAGAGTTACCAATCAGCCTAACATGCATGTTTTTGGTCTGTGGGAGGAAACCGGAGCACCCGGAGAAAACCCACGCATGCACGGAGAGAACATGCAAACTCCACCCAGAAAGGCCCCTGGACCGGGGTTTGAACCAAGGACCTGCTCGCTGAGAGGCAGCAGCTCTAACAGTTGCACCACCGTGCTGCCCGCGATTCAACATTAGCAAAGCAAATTTTCTTAGTTAGCAGAATATGATTTAGCAAAGCTAAGTTTTTGATTAGCAGTTCGCACCACTGCAGTTTGACCATCATGGTTATGATGTTAAAACAAAAGAACAGCTCCATTGTTGCCTACCATGTACAGCATGTTGCTTGCTGGTGGATTGGCAGCAGACCGGGCCTTGTTGTGTTCCCTAACACACTCTTCAACGAATTTCCTGTCACCAATTTCTGGAAACGAAACTGAGCAAATACTCAGGTCCAGGCTGATCCATACCCACAGAAACGTCCCCACTGCTCTCCCCATGCTTCAGCGGATTAAATGTGACAAATTTGGGTAGGCTACATGAAACATTCAGAGCGACAGAGGAAGTTGCACATTTTACAGGAACAAGATGTTCAATGAGTTTTGTTTTGACAACTCATTTTGTTATTTTGACAAACTAAAATGCTTTTACAATGATCCTGTTGACAGCTGCTTTTCAAAAAGCAGCTTTTCAGGCTCTTCAATGTACCGTACATATTTTCTGTTGAATCAGTTTTGCTCAAAGTTTTAAATTATTTTGTTCATTCTGAAGTGGACTTGCAGATTGCCTCATGATTTCCTGTTTTCACAGTTCTGTTTCATTCTGAGGAAGAAGCCGTAGGTTTCACAACAGTCAGCATTCTTTGAAAGTATGCATATTGTCTGCCTTTTTTTTTTTTTAGTTTTAAACTAAGAATATCTTATTGGTGGGGAAAAAAATGGAGTTTTAGCTGTTTTGGTCAAACTCTGTAAGTGAGATTATGTATTAAAACTCAGAATACATAATGAAATTGACTATCAACTACTACAAAATCCAGCTTTAGCTTATTATCTGTAAGATTGACTGAGTTATAGTCAATTTTGTGTTAGCTAACTTCAATTTACTGTGGTGGCCATTTTGAATTAGGTTGCTCCAAAAGTTAATCAGCTTTAGTTTTTCATTCAGTCATTACTTTCTGAGTGTTTCAATAAAATTGGTTCATAAAATATTTTGCTCAGACAAGGTGGTGCCGACAGGTCAGTTAGCCCTTTGAAGATGTGTTGTGAATAACTTTCTGTTTCTAACAAATCCATTTTAGTTTAATATTTGCTGAATTGGCTGAGCTTGGGTATGAAGAAGAAAAAGTCTGATGGGAATTTTTTCGCCTCCAATTCCTACATGTGTCAAGTTTCGCTACTTTTTGTCCGTCTAAACAGATCTCACTTGTAAATGAGTCTTCTAGGCTCAATGTGACTTATCTGTCTAAATAAAAATTGATTGAATGAATGTGTTGGCTAAAGTTGCTTAGCTGTGGTGGCCATTTTGAATCGGGTTGAATTCAAATGTTTTTCAGTTGTAGCTGTACACCCATAGGTGTCACAACAATTATATGTGAAAGGGACAAGTCCCTCTCACTTTTAAAAATTATTAATTTGAGCCCCCCCATATTAACCATTAAATATTAGTTCACCTAGCGCTGTTCCTATTTCTTCGTGAACGAATCCATTCCATTTGATTAATAGGAGAATATTCAAAGCATTAAAAGTCCACTCCAGGGTTTCCTGGTTTCCTACAACAACTCACCACACCGCATGCAGTGTTTCCCTGAGGTCACTTGGTTTGGCAGGGCCTTAATCTCTTGAGTTTTTTTTTTTTCTCGACAGGCCACGAGGAGGAGGGGCAGATACCTCTGTGTTGCATGCTAGCTTAGCACTACATTAGTACTGGCAGTTGTTGACCTGGGTGGTGGTGGGTTAGGATGCGTGAGAGAAGCGGATGCTACGTCTGCAACATGTAACTAACGCGTCTGTGTTGAACGCTGCTAGCTTAGCGCTACTTTAGTGCTGGCATTTGTTGACGGGGGGTGGGCTGTTGGTCAGGCTATTTTAAAATAATTATTGAATCAAGTGTTACTTATGTAGGTAAACATAGATGTTTAACACTTCGTTGAAATACACCAGAATGCAGGAAATGTAAAATTACTTAATTATTTAAATGGAAATGTACTTACTTCAAAATTTTCTGGGGGAGGACCCCCTACACACACAACAGTGTGTGTGTCCCACATTACAAATGCTTCTGATGCCAATGTGTACACCGGATAACTTTCTCAGAATTTCTATAAATCTGTATAGTGGTTCATGAGATATTTTGCTAAAACAACAGGAAAACAAGCCATGAACACAAACACACTGACATTGACAAAAACGTGGTCATCCGTGGTCATGGAAGGTAATACAATGGATGAGCCGTCCTGTGGAGGCTGAAATTGGAGTACTGTTTAGGATTCTTGTTGACTGGTAACATTTTGGATAGTTGCAAACTTGAATAGGGGTTAATATGAGACTAGAAATGTTAAAGTTTCTGTAAAAAATGCAGTGAATGCTGAACGTTTTCATTCATTCTACCTTTATTTATACAGACTAGTCTCATTGCACCTCAAGGACTCATTTACAAGAGGGACCTATTTCAGACAGAACATATAAAGTACAGACAACAATAACAAAGTCATTGTCAAGGTTGCTTTATTTGTCATTCGCATCATATGTGGTACATGTGGTGGAACGAAATAGTGTACACATGGTCCCAGTTACAGCCAACAAAATATAAATTGTAAAGAAAAACCGTAATAAGATATAAGATATGAATTAAGAAATAGGCTAAACTAAGAATATACTAAGCACTAATATTACAAAAACAATACGCCTAACAGAAGCAGGAACATGAGTATGTGTGAGCAGATGAGCACGAATGAACACAGCAACATGAAACAGATCAGCAACATGAGATCTGCAGTAGAGGATGACACAGGAGTGGATTTTCACTCCTGTCCTGGTCCCAGGGCTTAATTTGTAAGCTGATTGATGCCGGAATGGTGGGCGGGCCGGGGGTGGTGGGGATGGAGTCTGTGGGTCCTCCCACAAAAAAATGTGAATAACAAAGATGCCATTTCCTGCATTCTGGTGTATTTTAACGGATTGTTATACATCAGCATTTACCTAAATTTGTAAACACTTGATAGATTAATATTTTGGAGAGCAACAGCAGGTTGTGTGTGAATAGAGCAGATCTGGTTCTGTCAGGTGTCCTAACCCCGCACTTCACGGTTCTGAGCTGAACTCTTCGCCGCTGAATTCAGTCCTGGTTGTTGCTCCTGCTCCATTCTCGAAGTGGCACCTTTTGAAGCACCTGAAGCTTCAATTCTCAGTTGTTGGACAATCCATCCATTTTTTTTATTAAAGTAAATTGGACTGTCTTTTTGATATTTTGATAACTGTTATTTTGACAAATTAGCATGCTTGTTTTTGAAATGTGACAATGTGAATAACACATCAAATGTTTCTCTCATTGTATTTTTAATTTTTTTTTTTTACAGTAAAGCTTTTTTTATTCATTATGTCTGAAATGTAGCAGGAGTTCAGACACGTCAGCAGCTGTGCACGTGCTGTGTAGAGCTGTCTGGAGACGGTGCTGTGAGTAACGTGCACTGTCTGCAGGGTGCGCCGCCGAAACTGTTGGATGAAGATGAATTCATCCTCGTGGGACATGCCATCCGCTCTAACAGACACTGAAGCTTTTCATCCATGAACATGAAGTAAATGTTCTTGTTCATTCTGTTGAATAAATGATTGTTTCTGTTGTTGAACGGATCAATTCAGCAGCTTCATGTGAGCTGGACCCCCCCTCTCCTTAAGTGATCAAGGAGTCTGAAAGAAGGGGTGTTTTTCAGTGTGCAGCGCTGTTGAGGAGGGACAATGTTTGGAGGACTCCGCGCAGAACCGCCGTGTGTAAAATGTGACCGTCCTGTCCCTCCGTGCCTCCTCCAGAGGCTCCTCCCAGCCTGGGCAGGAGAGTGTGCGTGAGCTGCAGCTGGAACATCCACTCCACAGACTGGGCAACGTCTCCTCTCGTTGTATTTTTAATAAATACTCAAAATAAAATGCACAATGACTTTGGCCTTTTAAGGGCATAGATTTGAGTTGCCGGATCCAATCAAACAGTTGCCGGAACAGACCCGGTCAAAATGAGACAGTTTCTGGATCTTGTTCCAGTAGGATCCGGCTCAAATTAACCCCCTGCCTGGTCCCACAGAAAAAATCCTGTCCTGTCCCAATCCTGGACCAGAGTAAAAAAAAAAAATCCTGTTCTGTCCCACTTCTGGTAACATGACTCCTGCTCCCATTCAGAATCACTCCCACTCCTGTACCGCTCCCATTTTTTTTTTTTTTCATTTAGTCTTTAGGAAACACATTGAATTGGATTTGATTTTCTACCCATTCCTTTTTATATTACTTTGTGTTCTGCTATTTTATTTCAAAAGATATGGCAACATGAACAGTTTGTGGTGAAATAGGGAGAAATTTATGGCCTTAATCCAAACAAAAACCTTCACTAAAGGTCACAAAACTAATAATACATGGCCTGTAGTCCCTATAAAAACTTTATAAGCTCTTTAATGAGCTCTTAGCTCTTTAACAACAAAAATGGTTAAATCATGTCATCTGGACCAGTTTCTTAATATGAAAATGTGAAATGTGTGGTTCCTTTAATTTTTCTACAGAGGATCAGCTGCTGAGTCCCAAAGCATAAAAAAGTACATAGGTTACACCATTTACCCAAACATAACACATTCAGGTGATGGTCATAAAATTAGAATATCCTGAAAAAGTTGATTTTATTTCAGTAATTCCATTCAAAAAGTGAAACTTGTATATTATATTCATTCATTACACACAGACTGATATATTTCAAATGTTTATTTATTTTTATGTTGATGATTATAACTGACAACTAATGAAAACCCCAAATTCAGTATCTCAGAAAATTAAGACCAATATTAAATAATTTTTAGGAATGTTGGCCAACTGAAAAGTATGACCATGTACAGCACTCAGTACTTTCTGTTTCTGTTCAGTGCCCTGAGACAACGTCGGTTGTGACTTGGTGCTATATAAATAAACTGAATTGAATTAAACTGAATTAATGTAAAACAGAATTTAAAACCTCAGTTTGAAAAGTTTAAAATCATCTTCCACATACTGAACAAAAGCTACACAAAAAATTAGATGTCCTAAACAAATTTTAAGAGCTTAGCAAATATAAATGGTAAATGGACTGTACTCACACAGCTCCTTTCTATCTGATCAAGACACTCAACGCTCTTTACAACAACCTGTGCCTCATTTACTCATCCATACAGCTCTATACTAGATCTTTACAAAGAATAATCAGTGCTTTCATACACTGATGGGACACACATCAGAGGCAATGAGGGAGTCGGTGTCTTGTCCAGGGACGCTTTGGCATGTGACTACTGGAAGAATTGAACCCCCAACTTTTGCAATGGAGGACGACTGCTCTAACCACTCAGCCACAACCGCCCCAAATATAACAAAGAAAAATAAAAGAATAGAGACAGCCTGAGCATGTTAAGATAATGATTATTGATTTCTTTTCTTCTTTTGGCTGCTCCATTCTTCAGGGGTCGCCACCGAGAACTAACTCGAGTGAAAACTTGGTGATTGTTTTTACACCAGATGCCCTTCCTGACACAACCACCGAGCTACCACAGCCCTCTGTGTGGAGCTGAGAGCTGCTGTGTAGAGCACTGGGGGAGCAGATGGTGGGGGTTAAGGGCCTAGAGGGGCCCAGAGTGGGGTAAATGAGGGTGGAGGCAGGTGTGGGGGCTTCACCTTTCCCACCCACATTTTGATGTTTTTAGTTGATAGAGTTGAACCAGCGACGTTCTGATCGCAGGCATATATATATATATATATATATATATATATAGAGAGAGAGAGAGAGAGAGAGAGAGAGAGAGACAGACAGACAGACAGACAGACAGAATTGAAACAAGTGTAAAGACCAAAAATCAGGTCACTTTGTAAACACGACCATTTTCTTTACCCACGTTTGTCTTCAACGGTCACTGTGTGTGGGGCGGGGCACACCCTGGACAGAACCTTGTAAACCTGCATTTCTAATTTAAAACAGTGCACAGTAGCTCAGCACTCCCTGTTTCATGTTTGTTTCCTGGATGGGAGGCACCTGCTGCAGAAACTGGTCCCAGTCTGGACTTTGAATGGGTAGCTGTGTCTGGAAGTGGTTCCAAAACCTGGAGAGCCCAAAAAGAATCATGAAACATCATCACTGATGTGCTAAAGAAACCCAGTTAACAATAAAATTTAAAAAAGTGTGCAAACCGTGACATTTCTCTCAGAACGATGTATTTGAAGTATTATTGAAGAATATGTGTATTAATGTGTTTGTGTGCATACTTGTGGTGGTAGATGTCTGGATCTCGACTGATGCGGTTCTGGAAGCCGATGTAGAGGTCATCCCAGAGGCAGCCGTGCAGCACCACGTACCTCATCACCCCCACCCTGTTCTTAATCTTAGAGAAGAACAGAGAAACTTCAGGTTCACTGAAGCAAAACTTAACTAAGAACTATATTATATACTATATTATAATATTTGTATATTTTGTGTCTTGTTAAATAAACTGAGGATAGACTTCTTTTTTCACATGGCTGTAGTTTATTTTGACCGCAGCAGCAGATGTGTCCAAACAGAAGAAGACTTTCAAGCTGCAACTGTGTTCAGGTGTCACTCTCTGCCAGGAAGGTTTGCATATTGTTTTGACATGCAAAATGTTGCAAAGTATCTGTAGTGTATTGATCAAGTTCTGTTTCTTCTCAGCTTGTTCGCTCAGACGGTTGTTCTGAAGCCTGCATACTGGATCCGCACACTTTGCATTGTTATTATATAATTTATTTCTAACAACTGTATGACTTTGATAATGTTAGTGCTGAGCAGAGTGACGTTGAAGCACATGTGGAATGTTTTAAAAGTCTTTTTAAAATGTCTTGTTTGTTCTGTAGTAAAGGGGTTATCAGTAGTGTCAGACGTGCAGCAAGTTATTTCCATATGCACATCCATTACATTTTCCATCTATTTACTAAACTTCCTCTACACTTCTGACTTGGATTTGAATCCAGAGCCTCGCAGGGGATCATCTTTTAACTAGAAACTTCCTGGAGAAACTTTGACAGGGGCTGCCACGTGGCGGCCATTTTACATTTTTGATTTGACAGTACATTGTGTTGGGGTTCGCTCTCAGCTACCTCCAGTGGTGATGTTAACCTCTTTTTGGGAGGTGCTCAAGCACCCCTAAAATTTTACTCAGCACCCCTGAAAAATAAAGAATTAGGATTTTTTAAGGAAACTCAGTTCCTAACTCTTAGATTCACCAAAATATTGAATAAATTTGGAATAAGTATGGAATAATCACAGCCATAAAATTGGCCATAAAATCAGATTTTTTTTGCACAAATCGGATCCTCAATGCCACCTGTCAATCAATCCAGTAGGCTTGTCAGCAACTGACCAATCAGTGACCTCAATTTGTCCTGAAGATAAACACCCCTTACCTACAGGAATTGCACCCCTTTTTTTTATCCTTACGTGGGGGTTTTGCATTATGAACACTTTGTGGTCAAAGAGATTTGGTGAAAAATCATCAGGAAAAAAATGGCTAAACGTTGTCAGTGGAGAACCCTGAGTATTTCGAGGATGGAATACAGTTTATTCCATTTCCAAAACTTTAATGGAGTCTGGAAAAATGTAAAAGATAAAGTCCTGCGGCCGACCTCATGAGCAGCTGAATACAACAGTGATAAACAGGAAGTGCCACATGTTCATCTGTATGAAGGTAACTGCAGGTAAATCCTCCATTTTTGTCATAATTACATTGTATGCTTAATGGTTAAATTAAAGGTTAATGCTTAAAGCTAGTTGTGCTTTGTTTTCTGTGTTTTGTATGTAGATATATGTTGCAACTTATGTTTGCATAAGTTTAGCCTTTGTTTGCTATGATCCTTTAAAAGTCCTATTTGTGACTGAGCTCCTCTTTTACGGTCATACTACCCTGAACACACACTATTGCGGGGCAGCGGAAATGATCTTGTTGACTCTCAGGAACAGCTGACCCTCTGATTGAAGGAACGGTCTGGGCTTATTCACACAATTACAGAAGAACTGAGGAGGAAGTATCGAGACTGCAGAGCAGGAGCGAAGCAGAGAGATAAAAATTTGGAGAAGCGGTGGCGGTACAAACCCTCGGTCCCGTCTGTGATCATGGGAAATATCAACTCGCTGACCAACAAAACTGATGAGCTGGCTGGACTGGTGAAAAATCAGAGGCTCTACAGGGAACATAGCATGCTGTGTTTAACGGAGACGTGGCTTACCAGCGACACGCTGTATGCTAACATGGATCTCCTTGGATTCACCATATTAAGAACGGACAGGGAGGTGCTGAAAAGCAGAAAACGTAAAGGTAGTGGGCTTGCACTATTTATTAACACCAGATGGTGCAACCCTGGACATGTCAGCGTGAAGATGAACATCTGCTGTCTGGACTTTGAGCTGCTGGAGGTGAGTCTAAGACTGTTTTATATGCCACAGGAGTTCTCACATGCCATTTTTATCTGTGTTTACATTCCCCTGCACGCGGACACGCAGGGTAACGTGTCAACACCCAGCTACTAAGCAAGATGTGTGGCTCTTGTTGTACTGTAGATCAGAATCATCCACCAGATGGCATTTAATAAGCTTTATTTCCAACACAGACAGACAGAGTGAACCCCACAGGTCTTTGTGAGAGCTACTTCTCTCACTCAAGGTTACTCTACCAGAAACAAGCCTAACACAACTAACACTTAATGAACACATAAACTAAACCAACAAGAGAAGACTAATCACTAAAAGAACATGCTAAACAGCTAACCAAAGTGAAAAAAAAAGATTATAAATTCTACTCATAATCCCTCACTGATGTCATGTGACCAACAGTCAACCACAGCAGTATGCTACAATACTAAAAAACAAGGCGCCAAAATTGAAAAAGAAATACATCTACAGTGTGATTTGAGTAGCAATGAGGTTCTTTGAACATCATCGTTCTGTTAGCAGCATGATCTTGTTAACAGTTTAGCAGGTGTTGTTAACAGGTCCAGTCAGCAGCTTGATGGTAATAAGTAAAGTAAAGCACACAGTAAAATATACATAGATCCAAAAGGAAAAAAAGAATAACAAACGTCCTGATGCATATCCAATAATCCAGGTAGAAAACTAAAAAAGTTAAATCTGGTCCTATGGACATTCAAAAAACAAAATTCAATTCAATTCAATTCAATTCAAAAATACTTTATTAATCCCAGAGGGAAATTATATGTTGTGGTAATTCATCATCCTGGTTTCATTAGAGTTGTTATAGATGCAAAACAAACTGAAAACAAAAGCAAAACAACGTTAGTTGGCAGCTCAGAACACCACATACAGAACACCATGGACTTTGTGGATAAGGTGAGGGATGTCATCATGGAGACTGATGAAACAATGGTCTCTTTTGATGTCACATCACTCTTTACGTGCATTCCTGATGATGATGCAGTAGAGGTGGTCAGTTTAAAATTAAAATCAGACACCACTCTGAGCAGCAGGACCACACTTTCCACAGAACAACTGTGTCAACTCTTGAAACTGTGCCTGCAGTCAACCTACTTCACATATGGGGAGCAATATTATAGGCAGAAACATGGGTGTGCTATGGGGTCTCCAGTTTCTCCTATTGTTGCCAACCTGTACATGGAGGAGGTAGAAAAGAGAGCCATGACATCCTTTTCAGGGACACCACCAAGTCACTGGTTCAGGTATGTTGACGACACCTGGGTTAAAATTCAATCTCAGGAAGTCCAACATTTTACTGACCACATCAACTCTATTGATAAACACATTAAGTTCACACGAGAAGATGTAAAAAAGGGCAGGTTGACTTTCTTGGACTGTGAGGTCTCAGTTTCTGATAGAGGACATTTGCAAACTGAGGTGTTCCGCAAACCCACCCACACAGACCAGTATTTGCAGTTTGACTCCCATCACCCTTTGGAGCACAAGTTAGGAGTCATCAGGACTCTGTATCACAGAGCAGACAGCATCCCCACTAGCTCAGGAGCCAGGCAGAAGGAGAAATCCCACACAAAACAGGCTCTAGAGCAATGTGGATATCCTAACTGGGCCTTCCTGAAAGCAGAGAAGAAACCCAAACAGGACTCCAGTCAGCCAACAGGTGAAAAGGAGGAACCCAGACCAGTGGTCATTCCATATGTTGAAGGAGTATCAGAGAAACTGAGACATTTATTTTCTAAACACAATGTCCCATTGGCTTCTAAACCCCAAAATACATTACGGCAAAGACTGGTTCATCCCAAAGATCCAGTCCCCCGGCACAAACAGAGTAATATTGTGTATGCTGTTCAGTGTCAGGAGGGCTGTGATCAGTCTTACATCGGGGAAACAAAACAGCCACTGGCCAAAAGGATGGCCCAGCACAGAAGATCAACATCATCAGGCCAGGACTCTGCGGTCTACACTCATCTCCAGGCCAGCGGTCACTCTTTCAGGGATGAAGATGTTCACATCCTGGACAGAGAGGAACGATGGTTTGAGAGAGGAGTAAAGGAGGCCATCTTTGTGAAAAGAAATCGTCCATCGTTAAACAGGGGTGGAGCCTCCGGGTTCAACTGTCCCCCTCTTACAATGCTGTGATTGCTAGTATCACTCAACCCCCTGTGAGTAGTAAACAGCCATCAGTGTGCTAATGATCCATTGTTAGGCTGATGGTCCTTCTTGATCATGTGATCAGCTGGTTTTGGTTGTCAGCAGCAAACTGGTTGATCCACTCTAAGAAGGTGCTATTTAAGAGACTGAGCTGAATACAGCACCTCAGACTGAAGAAGTCTTTCAGATGAAAGATGAAAAGTTTCTACATTTTTTGTTTTTGTTTTGCTTTGTTTTGTTTTTTGAATGTCCAGAGGACCAGATTTAACTTTTTTAGATAATAACAAATGGCTAACACTGTAGAATACAGACAGGTTAAAAACAAATCACACAGTGTCAAAAGCCAGGGAATAAAAGTGTTTTTTTTTTAAGTTAGACTTAAAACCTGTGAGAGAGGGGGCCTGCCTGACATGCAGTGGTAACTCATTCCATGGTCTTGGACCTGCAACAGAGAAGGCCCTGTCACCTTTGAGCTTAAGACAGGTTCCTAGAACCAATAGAAGCATCTGATTTGCTGACCTCAGAGAGCGCTGTGAGACATATCGCTGCAGCAAATTGGTGAGATAAGAGGGGTTAGAACTGTTAAGAGATTTAAAAACATACAGGAGGATTTTGAACTGAATTCGAAAGTGAACCAGGAGTCAGTGAAGGGAGGACAGAACTGGTGTAATGTGCTCTCTTTTGCTGGTACCGGTTAAAAATTGGGCTACAGCATTTTGGACCAGTTGTAAACGTGCAATGGAGGTCTGACTGATTCCAAACAGAAGCGCATGGCAGTAATCGAGCCTTGATATTATGAATGCATGTATTACAGTCTCAAGTTTATTTTTGGACAGTATGGGCTTCAGTTTAAACAGTCGCCTCAACTGAAGAAAACAAAACAGGATTTAACAATCATGTTTACATGACTGTTAAGTTTCATGGAAGGGTCCATTGTCACTCCCAGATTTGTGACTCTTTGTTTCTCTAGCAGGGCTAGAGAGGAAAGGTCGATGCAGTGGTTCTTGATTGTGCCATTTTGAGGGAACAACATGACTTCAGACATCTTCTCATTAAAACTTAAGAAATTTAAAGCCATCCAGTCCCTGATGTCGGCCAGGCAGTCAAGAAGAGGATGAATAGAATGTGCACCAGTGTGCTTCATTGGGAAGTAAATTTGACAGTCATTGGCATAGAAATGAAAGGGTATGCCATGTTTATGAAAAATAGCACCTAGTGGCAGCAGGTATAAAGAAAAGAGGACAAGGATGAACCCCTGCGGTACCCCCATCGAAGCGCTGCAGATGCTGAACTAAAATCTTTGATGACTGACTGATCTGAATGACTACAGACCAATCGCCTTGACATCTCGTGTGATGAAGACCCTAGAGAGACTGCTGCTGAAACTCCTTAGACCTCAGATTCTCCATGCTGAGGACCCTCTACAGTTTGTGTACCAGGAGAAGATGGGGGTGGATGATGATATTCTCTATCTTATGCACAGGGCTCACTCTCACCTAGACAATGGAAACAATGCTGTGATGTCATGTTTTTTTACTTCTCCAGTGCTTTCAACACTATCCAGCCCCTGCTACTGAGAGACAAGCTTGAGTAGATGGAGGTGGACACCCACATCTGCTCTCCTGGATTACAAACTATCTTACTGAGAGACCACAACATGTCAGGATCAGGGACGGCATCTCCGACACAGTTGTTAGCAGCACAGGAGCACTGCAGGGAATCATGCTCTTTCCAGTTCTGTTCACCCTGGCCTGTACACTTCTGATTTCAATTACAACTCAGAGACTTGACACATGCAGAAGTACTCAGATGACACTGCAAGCATTGGGTATGTGCAGGATGGACAGGAGAGAGAGTACAGGACCCTGGATGAGGACTTTGAAATGTGATGCAAATCCAACCATCTACAGCTGAACATCAGTAAAACAAAGGAAATGGTATCCTGATGCATGCTCAATAATCCAGGTAGAAAAATCTAAAAAAAGTTAAATCTGGTCCTCTGGACATTCAAAATGTCCAGAGGACCAGATTTAACTTTTTTAGAAAGGAAATGGTAGTGGACTTCCGAAGGTCTGGGCCTATCCTGCAGCCAATCTCAGTTGAGGGGGTTAATGTGGAGGTGGGCAGGACCTACAAATATCTGAACATACAACTGGATGATAGGCTGGACTGGGCAGGGAACATGGATTCCCTCTACAGGAAGGGTCAGAGCAAGCTCTACTTCCTAAGGAGGCTTGGGTCCTTCAGTATTGGCAGAAAACTACTGCTGATGTTCTACCAGTCTGTGGTAGCCAGTGTCCTCTTCTGTGCTGTTGTGTGTTGAGGAGGAAGCATTAATAGGAGAGATGCAGGATGACTTGATAAGCTGGTGAGAAAAGCTGGTTCTGTGTTGGGAACAGAGCTGGAGTCCCTTACATTGGTGGCAGAGAAAAGGACCCTCAGTAAGCTACTATCCATCATGGACAATGCTGACCATCCTCTGCATGGCGCCATCATGAAGCAGAGGAGTTCGTTCACTGGTAGGTGCTGTCCCAGCCCTGCTCCACTGACAGATTCAAGAAGTCCTTTGTCCCTCCAGCCATCAGACTGTTCAACTCCTCCCCATACAGTAAAAATAGAGCTTTGTAAATCTGTGGTACACAAGACACTTATGTCTGTGTATGTATACATGTATATATGTGTATGTACTGTATATACATACAGAATATAAGTGTATGTATGCTTAGATGTGTATGCATGTATGCATATATAGGTTAATGATGAATGTAGTACTCCCTATCACCTTGTGCATGTGAAAAATGTCTTTTTCCAAATTTGTCTATTCTGCTTCTTTTTTTATTTATTATTTCATGTGTCTTTTTTCTGTATAATGAGAACATGCTACTGGATGCCTCAAATCAACCCTGGCTACTACCATTTCAAATTTCACCTCAACATAGTAAAAAGTCAATGAGTTATACCAGCCCGGGTAGTCATTCTTTCTTTTAAACTATGGTGGCCATCTTGGATTTTTGATTTGGATTCAGTATGTGATGGGAAATGTTCGCAGCTAAAACCACACCAAATTTCAGCTCTATATGTGTAAAAAATAACTGAGTTAAAGTCATTTAAAGTCATAAGTCGCTTGTCCTGACCCTGGTTCTGTTGGGGGTTGCTTCTTTTTAAAAGAGAGTTTTTCCTTTCCACTGTTGCCATTGTGCTTGCTCAGGATGGGAGACTGCAACGAAGCCAAGATTCAACATGTCTGCTGGATAGAGAATTTTACTAATTGGCATTTCTATGTACTGTATGTGAATGTTCCTGTAAAGTGTCCTGAGACAACTTTATAGGGATATGGTGCTATATAAATAAACTGAATTGAATTGAGTTTAAATTTAGCTTTGGTGGACATCTGCCATCTTGAATGTTTTATTTGAATTCAGGATTTATTGGGCATTGCTCTCAGCTACCACCTCATCAAATTTAAACTCAGTATCTTGCAAAATAGCTGAGTTATTTGTTTGCAAATTATATTGCCGTGGTAATTCAAATTGTCAATTAAAGTAATAGCACACACCACGGCGCCGAGCCGGTTGTTTAGATATAACATTTGTGGAGGACATACGGTTAAGGCAGAATTAAAGTTGATTGAAGAGCAAGACCCTTTTCAGGCGGACAATAATAGGGTTTCTAAGGTAGCTGTGGCAGCCATTTTGGCTCTAAAAGTTAATCAGTGTTTTATTTATAGACCTCTGCCCTCTAGGTCATGTGATCTCACTGTGAGGTGGCCACCTTCAGGTAGTCCCCAATGAGAAGTATGAGAGTTATGGGCAGTTTGGTCAACCCTTAAAACAACTCATAAGATATTTAGGCAGCGGTGACACCAATGATTCATGCAAATTTTTAAAAATTTATCTTACATAGTGATTGAAATATGCCTTGTAAATAACTTTCATTTACCAACACACAAACTGTATCAGCATTTCTGGAAAATTGAAAGAGTAAGACTATTTTGGGGTTTTCTTAAGTGACATATATGCTGACCAATTCCTAAAGCCAATGAGCTGCAGATGTAAACCCAAATGATTACTTTCTAAGAATTTCATTCAATTCATCAAGTCATGAGATATTTGGTTAACACTACAAACAAACAAACACACACACACACGCACACACACACACAAAAACATTATTACTCTTTTGCCTTGGTCAATAACAAGTACTCTAATCCAATCCATCTCAATTTATTTTTATTCCATAATACATTTATACGAAGATCTAGTCTCAAAATGAGTTTGATGTAACTCACCTCCACGTAGTAGTGCTCTCTGTCAGGTCTTGTGGTGGGGAACGACAGATCCAGAAAGTCCACTAGATAGTTGTAGCCTCCACTGAGTGGCTCAAAGTTGTCGTCTGTTTCAATGACCTACATGAACGAGTCAACAACGTGAGGAAATGAAACGTCAGCTAACAGAACTGGTCAAAGTTGGAAATGAAATATGTAGAAATAAGGACTTAAGTGTGAAAGTCAGCGAGAGGGAAGGAATTGTTCAAAAATGTTAAACAGAGATCTTACATGTTCATGTTACATAGTATGACCCACATTTGTCTTTAAGGTTGCTGTTAATGTGCTAATATGAATTGCACGTACATAAATATGAGCATGGTAAATATTTTTCTCAAGGTGTAATTGTGATGAAGTTAAACTAAAGATTTTCTGTTAACTTCAAATATGATACTGGAAGAAGCTATGAAGCTTACAAGACAGAACAACACGTGGAGGCACGTGCACAAAATGGCAAAGGATACATTCAGAGCAACCACAAAGCCTATTTTCTAGCAATTGTTTGCAATTCATGGCAGCTACTTTTCTTCATTCTCAGCAAAATCAGATACTGGCACCCATCTGAAACTACTGGCTAAAGCTAAAGCGAAATAAAGTAAAATCATTAATCATGTTGGCGAAAATGACAATCGACTACGCAAATCAGAGATCACTAAAATTAATGTTGCTTCACTTTGTAAGTGTTGCCAGGTGAGAAATGTAGGATTATCGTACTAGAGACATAAAATTATCATATTTTGAGGGAAATTATCGTACACCCGTCATAACCGTCATTGCTATTTGTATCTGTATTTCTATTTTATGTTTTCCTGTCTGCTGTGCATGTTTGTTTTCTTTTGTACAGCACTTTGGTTGGCCTTGTTGCTGTTTTAAGTGCTATATAAATAAATTGGTATGGTATGGTGTGGTATGGTATGGTATGGTATAACCAAAATAACAAATTTATTGATGTGTTATAGTCACTCTAGTATTGAATAGCGTCTAACAGGCACGCACAGCTTTGTGGCGTCAGTACAGAATGGATTCATCAGCAGCCCCACAGTTGCGTTAGGCTAATGTGCCCTCCATAAACAATGACGGGTGGGAACTAATGACCCCCCCCCCCCTTCCTATTTGGCCTTTTTTGGGATTATTGATCGTACATCGTACAGAGGGCAAAATTGTTGTACAAATACGATAATTATCGTACACCTGGCAACACTGCTGTGTCACTTCACAAAAACTATGTGTGACTCCGTAGTTTTCTCCGTCCCTGTCCCCAACCTGTCCAGCAATGACATGTTTAGCCGTATGTCGGCTTCAACCGCTGGTTGTCCAGGTGGTGTTCTGAAATCAACGTAGGATTTGTAGACAACTGGGGTGTATTTTGGGGAAAACCGGGTCTAATGCGGAGAGATGGAATCCATCCCACCTTAAATGGAGCAGCACTTCTCTCTAAAAACTTAACTGACTCTGTTAAACATCCATGTTGTTGACAATTAATGGTCCAGTCTAGAAATCGGTCCAAAAAGCAGAGATGTAGTCTTCCACACTTCTCTGCTGCTTCTCTGTTACCCACCCAAAACCCCATTGAAACAGTGCCAACTTGCCCACGGTTCAAATCAATTAAACCCAAAATCAACTCTAAAAATATTACCCATAAAAATCTTATTAAAATAAACACAACTGCTTTACCAAAACAAAAATTCAAAAGACAAGAAAACCAGAACATTAATAAGTGAAAAAACATCTGTGACCTTTCACATCTCCATCAATTTGTAAGAGTCGAGAAACTCTCAACTCAACTTTATTTTGGTAAATTAAAAACATTACAAAAAAGGAAAACAATATAAAATGGTAAATCGACCATTTACCAAAAAAGGAATAAGCTGACGCCAAGGCTTGTACTTGCCTACCGTGTTCACAGACAGCAATCTACATAATGAGATATCTACTGTCCACATACATACATAAGTACACATACAGACATTTACCGTATATATTTACCGTGGAGGAAAGTAGAGGAAAGACAGGCTGCAGGTCTCTTTTCAAATACTTAAAGAGAGTTGGCGCCGTTATCAGAAAGCAGTGAAAGCTGCAAAATCCAAATACTTCTCTGATATAATTACCTCAAACTCTCGCAACCCACGTGTCCTCTTCTCCACCCTAAACTCTGTTCTCCACCTCACTGAACCATCACCTCTGGAAGCCTCGACTGAGCTGTGCGACAACTTCCTACATTTCTTTTTGGAAAAAATTGCGACCACCCGGGCTCTCATTTCCCCTCCAACTCATGACCCATCTATCCCACCTCAATCTGTAGCTCCTTTTGACCATTTTGAACCCATCACTCTATCTTCTCTAGAGCAGGTCATGTACAGCTTGAAACCGTCTGGTTCCCCCTTTGATGTGGTCCCCCCTCGTCTACTAAAGGAGGTTTTTCCAACTCTAGGTCCGTCCATTCTTACTATAGAAAACAGTAGTTTATCCACTGGCGTGGTGCCAAAATCCTTTAAACATGCTGCTGTCCAGCCTCTCCTGAAAAAAACAAACCTTGACCCCTCAGTCGTGTTCAACTTCCGGCCTGTCTCCAAACTCCCATTTGTTTCTAAACTACTGGAGAAAATAGTCGAGTCCAAGTTGAAGTGCTTCCTGGAGGGTCACGCCATCTTAGAGCTATTCCAATCTGGCTTTAAACCTCTCCATAGCACTGAAACTGCCCTGTTCAAGGTCTTTAATGACATTTTCTTAACCACTGATACCGGTGATTCTGTGCTGCTTGTCCTGTTAGACCTCACAACTGCCTTTGACACCATCGACCATGAGATCCTCATTGCTAGGTTGGAGCAGTGGGTGGGCATCACAGGATCAGCCCTCAATTGGTTCAGATCCTATCTCACTGACAGATCCTTTTGTGTCTCCATCAAGGATTTTAGTTCTGCAGCGGCAGAGCTTAAATGGGGGTTCCGCAGGGGTCCATCCTGGGTCCCCTCCTATTCTCTTTATACCTGCTGCCGGTTGGTGCTATTTTCCGGAAACACAACATGCCCTTCCACTTCTATGCCAATGACTGTCAAATTTACTTCCCCCTAAGACCCAATGGCACATGCTCTATTCAACCGGTGCTCAACTGCCTGGCTGACATCAGGGACTGGATGGCTTTAAACTTCTTAAGTTTCAATGAAAATAAGTCTGAAGTCATGTTGTTCCCTCCCAATGACACAATCACAAACCACTGCATCGACCTTTCCGCTCTAACCCTGTCATTAAAACAAAGAGTCACTAATCTGGGAGTGATAATGGACCCTTCCCTGAAACTTAACAATCATGTAAACATGATTGTAAAATCATGTTTCTTCCAACTGAGGCGGCTGTCTAAACTGAAGCCCATATTGTCCAAAAATAACCTGGAGTCAGTAGTACATGCATTCATTACATCTAGGCTTGATTACTGCAATTCACTCCTGTTTGGTATCAGTCAAACCTCCATTGCAAAACTACAACTGGTCCAGAATGCAGCAGCCCGATTTTTAACCAGTACAGGTAAAAGAGAGCACATTACACCAGTTTTGGCTTCACTGCACTGGTTACCGGTTCACTTTCGAATCCAGTTCAAAATACTCATGTATGTCTACAAATTACTGAACAGTTCCCCCCCCACCCCCACCCCACCCCCATCTCTCTGATCTGCTACAACTGTATGTCCCACCACGTTCCCTGAGGTCAGTGGACCAGTTGCTCCTCACAGTTCCAGGAACTCGTCTTAAGCGCAGAGGTGACAGGGCCTTCTCTGTAGCAGGACCAAGACTCTGGAACGAGTTACCTCTGCTTGTCAGACAGGCCCCCTCCCTCTCGGTTTTCAAGTCCCATTTAAAAACTCACTACTATTCAATAGCTTTTAAGACAAGATGATCTGTGTTTTGATCCTGTATGCTCCACACTGGTTAGTCGTCATTATCTGCATCGTTTTTATGTCTATATTCTGATTTACTTCATTTTGTATTTTGCTTTGTGTGTTACCTGTTGTTTTGTCTGTACAGCACTTTGGTTGGCCTTGTCGCTGTTTTAAGTGCTCTATAAATAAAATGGTATGGTATGTTATGGTATATTTAAATATGCATGTATATAATACATACACATACTCACATTACATACATACATGGTTACACAGTATATATATGGGGGGGGGGGGTGTTTATCACCACTTTTGTGGACTGGAAATACCTTGACAGTTTTGATTTTGTCAGGAAAAATTCCGGTTAAGAATGATCTATTACAAATATAGGTGAGAGGTTTAATAATACTATAAATGACTTCTTTCACAATAGCCATACCAATATCATTACAGTCTTTGGATTTCTTATTTTAAAAAATTTTAACTACTTCTTTGACTTCACTTTCACTCACTCTTCCAAGAAACATATTAATATTAAATGTGTAGATGAACATATTCTGTGATATATTCATAAATTAAACGGATTCATTCATTTTTCTGGACTGAATAATGTTGTGCATTTAATTATTAAAAATGTAACGTGAGACGTTAATTTCCTTTGACCCATCAAAATGAACGTGGTCATTTATTTTCAGAATCAAAATTTAACATCAAACATTTACATTAATTTGGCAAAATATGAAAATAACAACAGGTTAATTAATCAGTTTACAATTAGAAAACCATACGGCGATGGTTTCCCTTGCTTCCAGCTGCACAACAGACATTTCTAAAAATATCTGGAATGATTTCTAGCAGATAGAAGAGTTTAAAGATGGAAAGATGAAGTTTAGAGGGAGGGAGATGGTGTGTGAGTGAAAGACCGGTGTTTCCGGTTCATTTGGGAGGTTCCTGATTGGTCAAAATCGACCAGACAGGGGTGTGTTTTTGTGACGTAAGAGGTCACTAGAAGTCAGAAAAACAGAAAATGTTTTGGAACAGATTGAAAATGTTTTAGAGACAAGCTAGAGAAATGTTTGGACGAGTTGGGTGAAAACAGGTGCCAGCTTCTCTATATTACGTCTGAGAGGATTTAAAAACATGACAGTTCGTTCCAACAACTTGTTTTCGACCTTTGACCAACTTCACAATGTGCTCATTTCAAACAGAAGATCAGAAAATGCATGAATTACTCCGTAACACATACCAATTTGATTTCTACTTTGAATTAGGATTAAAAATCACTAATACTGTTTCACAGTTGATTAAAAATGATTAGTTCACTTCAACATTTAAAAATGGTTTGAACTAAACACACTTTGATTATCAAACATTTGTAAAAATAGTAATGATAATAGAAAAAGAGAGTGTTCTTTCAATTGATCAGTGCAGGACACTTAGAAAGTCTCTGGATGAACTTAATCTTGTGTTTCTGGACTCAAATCAATGAAATACAGTTCTTTGTTCCAGGAAGGCCCTCAAGGCCAGATTTTGACCTGAGGCTTAGTTCACTACAAATGTATAACTGAGTTTTCATCTTTAATCTTTGACAACTCATTTACTAAATTAGGACCAATATTAACAAATAACTGATAGAAGACTTCAACAATATCCTCTTTATTTTTCATTGTGGTGTTATTATGTTTAGTACATATTGGGAAATCTCTGTCTTTATGATTTTTAATGACATTATTAATTATCTTTCAAGTACCCTCAAGTACCTAACTCAATAGGAACCATTTAAAGATAAAATAGAAAGACGGACTGCTGGGACCGACCTTCTGTTCGAAAACAACATCCCTTTGGTTTTGTCAATGTGTAACACAAGTTTGAGACAGAACAAATCAGATTGTATGATGTAACATAGTTCATGCTCAATCATCCATGATGTCAAAAGCTGCAAAAACTGGAAAACCTTAGCAACTGTTTAAGCTCAACAATAAACAACTGTATCCGAACTGTGAGTTTAATGAAAAAATAAAAATAAATGACCTGTTCAGTATAGTCTCACATTTCTTATGTTTAAGTGCATTTTTTTAAACCAGTTAACTTAAAAGTGCCCTGATTACCTTCCAGTTATAAAGAAACAAAAAAAGATATTGAGCTCAAATAACATGGCTATTGTAGATTAACATATACTGTGATATATTCATAAATTAAACGGATTCATTCATTTTTCTGGACTGAATAATATTGTGCATTGAATTTAATTAAATGTAACGTGAGGCGTTAATTTTCTTTGACCCATCAAATGAATGTGGTCATTTATTAACAGAATCAAAGTTTAACATCAAACATTTACATTAATTTGGCAAAATTGAAAACAACGACAGCTTAATTAATCAGCTTTACACTCAGGAAAACCATCCGGCCATGATTTTCCTTTGCTTCACAACAGACATTTCTGAAAATATCTGGAATGATTTGCTAGCAGGATAGAAGAGTTTAAAGATGGAAATGAAGTTTAAATGGAGAGGAAAAGATGGATGAGGGAAATGTGTCAGTATCAGGACGGCACTCTCCGTTAAGATCCCAGCTTCCTCCTCGGTACACTTAGGTTATGTAAATCGACTCTTTACCTGGAGGAGATGTCTCCACTGGTACGGAGTTCCATTTAACGCACCCTTTCAGCGTCTCCGTAGGAACAGCTGTGAATCATCCGAAGTAGTGACGCTACTTGTTGACACAAGTTCACCTCTCAGTTGGGCTCACGTGAGTTGTGAGTCCGTCAGAGTTCCACTCAGATGTGGAAGATTGCATAATTCCCACGAGACTCGGAAGAACTCCGGACCATGTCTGGAACTCCTGTTCTCCCCAGCACTTCTTGTGTTCGGTTTGCTCTCCGAACCGAACTCGACCGGGCTCGACTGCTCTTGACTGAACGAACTCAGGCTCTGCAAACGACTGGTTTGAACTAGGAAGTGCAGACATTTAAAGAGTTCTATTTCCGGTTCATTTGGGAAGTTCCTGATTGGTCGGTGGACCAAATCAGGGGTGTGTTTTTGTGATGTAAGAGGTCACTAGAAGTCAGAAAAACAGCAAGAATGTTTTGGAACAGATTGAAAATGTTTTAGAGACAGACGAGAGAAATGTTTGGACGAGTTGGGGGAAAGCAGGTGCCAGCTTCTCTATATTACGTCTGAGAGGATTTAAAAACATGACAGTTCGTTCCAACAACTTGTTTTCGACCTTTGACCGACATCACAACTTGCTCATTTCAGACAGAAGATCAGAAAATGCATGAATTACTCCGTAACACATTCCAATTTGATTTCCACTTTGAATGAGGATTAAAAATCACTAATACTGTTTCACAGTTGAATTAAAATGAGTAGTTCACTTCAACATTTAAAAATGGTTTGAACTAAACACACTTTGATTATCAAACATTTGTAAAATAGTAATGATAATAAAAAAGAGAGTGTTCTTTCAATTGATCAGTGCAGGACAAGAGCAAGTCTCTGGATGACTTTAATCTTGTGTTTCTGGACTCAAATCAATGAAATACAGTTCTTGTCCCAGGAAGGCCAGATTTGACCTGAGGCTTAGTTCACTACACTATCAATGCCGTGTTTATTCTTCAGGTCAACGGACAAATTTGTTGTGTTTCCGAGTATTTGAACTCACGCTGGCACCTGTTGCGTACCACATGAGTTTTGTCTGTTGAGCCATCCTTCTGTTGGAATCACAAATATTTCCACAGAGTCGATTTAAATCCAGCAGGAGAGTGAATTTCATTTTCTGTTTTCTGCCTTGTCTGCCATGTTGCTGAGGCGGCGCAGAGCGCAGCCGCGCACGGAAATAGTAACACAGACGTGCCTTGGGAATTTCAAAATAAAAGCGTATTTTAAAGATGACGATATGAATCGATGTTTTAGTTTTGCCACGATATAATTTAATTATTAATTACTTAATCGATACATCGATGTAAATTGATGTATTGTAACACCCCTAGAGGTAAACACATCCTTGCCGCAGGTCAAGTGTGTGTATAATTAAGCAGTAAGCACACTTTGGCCGACACTGTTTGCTGTGTGTTTAGCTGTTTGGACCTGTCAGCCACCGTACTTTCACATTAGTTTTGATATATCCAGACGTGTGTGTGGAACATTTTCATTTTTTTTTTCATTTACCCTTTATTTATACAAGTAGTCTCATTGAGCCACGAGAACTCATTTTCAAGAGAGACCTGTTTAGGGAGCAGATGGGGGTTAAGGGCCTTGCTCATGGGCCCAGGGTGGGGCAAATGAGGATGGGGGCAAGTGTGGGTGCTTCACCTACCCCACCCACAATTTTGATGTTGTCGGGGCCGGGGCGTGAACCAGCAATCTTCAGATCACAGGCCCACCTCTCTAACCTCTGAGCCTCCACTCCCACATGATGTCCTTAACCCAAACAGAAGCAGTGTAGAGTGAGTCATGATGACTTCCTGTTTTCAACTGATGACCTTTAACGTAGTTTTTAACAATTGTGTAGCTTACAGCTGGTGACACTGGCAGGTTTTTGAAAGTGGGGATATGCTAACACCAAAAGCTTAGAAGTGCATGCACTGAGTACTGACGAGTACTGGCCCCCTTTGAGTACTGGTCCTGACAGATCAAACCAAGCATCAGAGTGGCAAGCACTTTCATGAGGATGGACTCATGGATTGTGCTTGTATCATGAGTCTACATGTGTGCTCAAGTTTAAAAAAATACAGTTTAAAGTCAAAACCAAAGACAATGTGATGTGATTCTATGACAACTTTTCATTGGAAAAATATGTAAGAAGAAAGTAAACACAGTAGCATCCAGGAGAAGTTCATTGTAGGAAGAGGACAGCGTTTTTAGAAGAACAGAGCAGCTCTCGGTTATATTTACCCGCACCACAAGGTTGTAGTTTTTAAAGCCTGCCCAGTTGTAATAAAACTGGATCCAGCTTTGATGTCTGAATATCTCACTGCTTATGGCACCGTTCAGTTCGTCCACATATAGGTCAAACTCCCAGTTGTCCTTGTAGAGTTTTGCTTTGGCTGGAGGATCAGTGATGGACTCGCTGTGATGGGTCAGAGCAGATGAAGCAGTCAAAAATGTTATTCTGATCACGGTTTGAAATTGTTTTATTTGAGAATCCTTATTTTAGTGATATATTTTGAATTACTTGCTGTGTACACAATTTCGTCCCACCTCATGTACAACATGTGATGCGAATGACAATAAAGTCACCTTGAACCTTGATTTTTCTTGTTCTGTCAAGCGTTCACTTATCACTAGTTGCTGCATTTTCTTATACTGAAAATGCAAGCTGATCACAAACCACTTCCTTGTCAGAAGTAAATGTCTATTTTATTTTCAATTAGAGTTTCAGTTTTATATACGAGTTAGTTTTACATGTAGAAAACACACTAATATACAATATGAAATGGATTTTAGTACTTGTATGTAGAAAACTAGAAAGGCTTCATAAACTTTCAAGCACCACTGGATATATACATATATATATATATATATATATATATATATATATATATATATAATCCCAAATATGTATTTTTTTTAATTTAAATGTGTTTTTTTTTTTTTTTGTCTTTTGGCTGCTCTCTTCTTTAGGGGTCGTCACTGCAAACCAAATTGCATGAAGACTTGGGAATTATTTTTACGCCGGATGTCCTTCCTGACCCAACCACAGACCACCGAGCTACCACAGCCCTCTGTGTGGAGCAGAGAGCTGCTAGGGCATCCAGGGGAGCAGATGTGAGGGTTAAGGGCCTTGCTCAAGGGCCCAGAGTGGGGCAAATGAGGGTGAAGACAGGTGTGGGTGCTTCACCTATCCCAGCCACATTTTTCAAGGATTGAAAATAAATCTTGTTTAACTTTTACCTCAAGTCTGCTGTCATCCTCCTGCACGTGGGTTCAACACACCAGTTGGCAGATCCTGACAGCATGATTCTTATGGGTTCTGTTCAACTCTTTTCAAAAATGGTGACAAATGTGTGTTTAATAATTACAGACCGATATCCTTGTTACCTCAGTTTTCAAAAATCCTGGAGAAACTATTTAGCAATAGATTAGACCAATTTATTGAAAAACAGAATATTCTAACTAATAATCAATATGGTTTTAGAGCAAAAAATTCTAAATCTATGGCTCTCATGGACTTTATTGAACAAGTAACTACTGCTGTGGACCAAAAACAATATTGTGTAAGTGTTTTTGTTGATTTAAAGAAGGCTTTCGATACTGTTGATCATAATATTCTAGTTAATAAATTACATAAATATGGTATTAGAGGATTAGCGTTACAGTGGGTGTGTAGTTACTTGGAAAACAGGAAACAGTTTGTACAGATGAATGATGTGAGATCAGATCTCTGCACCATCACATGTGGAGTTCCTCAAGGATCTGTACTTGGTCCAAAGTTATTTATTTTATATATAAATGATCTGGTTAAGGTGTCTGGAATCCTCAAATCTGTTTTTTTTTTGCTGATGATACAACATTTTTTTGTTCTGGTAATAATATTGAACAGTTATTGGAATCAATGATGAATGAGTTTGTTAAAATTAAGAATTGGTTTAAACTCAACAAATTATCATTAAACTTGGAAAAAACAAATTATATGATATTTAGTAACAGAAATAAAACTATTGATGTTCCATTTTTAATTGAGGATTCTGAGATTAGTAGAGTTAATGAAGCTAAGTTCTTGGGTGTCATCATTGATGAAAATTTGTCATGGAGGCAACATATAAACTCTGTTAAAATGAAAATATCCAAATCTATTATGATATTTTATAGAGTCAGGTATCTGTTGAATGACAGAGCGCTGTATTTACTGTATAATACAATTATTGTGCCACATTTAATTTATTGTGTTGAAGTTTGGGGAAAGGCGTGTAAATCAATTACAATGCCTATTTTTATTTTGCAGAAAAGAGTCGTAAGAATCATAACAAGAAAGCATTATTATCATCCAACAAGTATATTATTTTATCAAATGAAATTGCTGAAGTTCCATGATTTGGTAGACTATAATATTTTATCACTTATGTATAGAGCTCATAAAAATATACTACCTTTTAATATCCAAATGTACTTTGTGAAAAGATCTAGCTGTTACGATCTAAAAGGGAAAGACGTATTTGTTAAACCACAGTTTAGAACAAGTTTGAAGGGAAGATCTACCGTAATTCAGGGAGTTGGTTTATGGAATGACTTAGTAAAAGAGGTTAAGCATGCTATATCAATTTATGTATTTAAGAAACTGATTAAAATCAAATTGTTAAATGAATATCAATGATTGTATTTTGATGAGTATTGTATGAGAATTGTAAAATATTTTGATTTACTTACTTGTATTCGCTGTTTACAGGAAACGTTTGTTTGAATTGCTTATTAGATAAATAAGGAGCAGATTTAATAAGATTTTTTTCTTCATCTGCTACCTTTCATTTTATATTTAATATTTTGTTGTTGTTACATATGTTGATTATGTTGATTGTTATGTATTTATAAAATGAATAAAAAAAATAAAAAATAAAAAAAATAACTATAATTTATACGCTTAATGCGAGCGGAGTCGGGCTCAGAGGCCCAAAACTAACATAAACTGGGATTTATCTAAAACATTCAACAAAGTTACAGAAACAAGGCGCCAAAAGTGAAAAAGAAATAAATCTACAGCAGCATTGTCTTATTGGCAGAGTGGTTCTGATGATAGTGAGGTTATCTTAGCAACATGGTCCAGTTAGCAGCATGATACTGTTAGTAGTGAGGTCCGGTTAGCTGCAGCGTGGTCTTGTTAGCAGGTCTTGGTCTTGTTAGTAAGTCTTGTTAGCAGGTCCCTTCAGCAGCTTGATGATAATAAGGATCGCAGTAGCTGCCTCCCAGACTGCCCGCCAGAACTGGGTCCGGCAGACAGAGAACATCCAAGGTTCCCCCGTGGACCCAAGTGGGTCCGTAAACTTTGGTCCGTGCAGTCAGATAGAGGATCTTGTTAGCAGCATTAGCAGGTCAATTCAAAATGCTTTATTAATCCCAAATGGAAATGAAATGTTGTTGGAGCTCATCATCCTGGTTTCATTAGATTTATTCCAGATGCTGATGGCTGTGGGCAGGAAGGATCTCCTGCAGGAGTCCGTCTAACAGCGGATCTGAAGAAACTGGCTGCAGATCCATCCACCTGGACCCAGCGGGCCTCTCGGTACTCTTGTGCAGCAGGACCACCTGAATTTTGGCAGAACTCCTCCCTGAGCGATGGGTCCGGCAGATGAAGGATATCCGAGGTTTCCTTGCAGAACTGAACGGATCCGTTGAGTTTGGTCCGTGGAGGCAGATGGAGGATCATGGAGACAGTCACCATGACAGGCCTGAGCACGAGGCAGGAAGGATCAAAGCACCAACTGGTGTGCATGCTGCAGCCGTAATATCCAGTCCACAGACTGGGCAACGTCTCCTCTCTTTGTATTTTTAATAAATAATCAAAATAAAAATGCACAAAGACTTTGGACTTTTACGGGCGGAGATTAGAGTTGCCGGATTGCATGGGTATTTTGACTGTTTAAAATTAATATTGTGTTTTAAAGTTGCACCTGAAACTTTGCACTAAGTTTCATATGGAAGTTTTTTAGAGGTGCAGAGTACTGAGTCTGTGAGCGTATCTGCACTGCTCAGTCAGTGAGTCTAGTCAGTCCACATTTTTAACTCGTCTCCTGGAGGACTGATACATTGAGCAGTGTCAGCATCATTGACATATAACAGTCTATGCTCCGCACGCCTGCATTCATGCATTTGCAAAGTAACGCGCGAGCTGTTTGACGTTTAATACTGTATAAGCTAATGCAGTATTCTTTAACATTGCTCTGTTGCTTTTGCGAAAGTTGTTTTAGATTCCTGACAAAATTGATATAGAAAACGTCACTCATTCAGTTTATACCTAAAAGTCTCACCAGCATTTATTTATTCAGCTTGAATTAAGCCATAGATTAGTTAACAGAGCTTTTATTTTCTGAGCCATTCCGTTGTAGATTTGATGATACGTTTGTCTTGTTGAATGATGCAGTATGGGCGGATGGCTTTGTGTTTGATTAAAAAACATTTTACTTCACAGCAAAGTGTACATGCCCACTCAATCTCTACATGTAAAAAATCTGCTGCTGCAAAACAAGCCCAAATCATCAGACCTCCCCCACCATGCTTGATGGTTGATAAGACGTGTTTGTGCTGTGGTTGGTTTTTTCCAAATGCGTCATTATGGCCAAACATTTTCAATTTGGTCTTGTGCAACATGTCATCTGAGTCCCATGAAGTTCAAGTCTCAGTTATCTGATACTGTATGGGGGCATACTGTGGCTCCTCCAGCTGGAACTCACTCCAGCAGTCTCAAGAAATGCAAACTTTTCATAAAATAGTGGGCGAACACATCCATAACCACCTGGTTCTGTTTCTGAGTTTTTGATTGTCAGTGTAGCTTGTATTTGAAAGTTTTAGGTATGCTTGCATTGATATGCACATTTTATACTGACGTATTTTATTGGTTGTATCCTTTGTATTTTTGTCCATCTCTTGCACACGAGACAGTTGTGTTTCAGCTTGACTAACCTGTATAAATTAAGTAAATGAATGCATTTCTCCTCTGGTTTGAGGTTTTTTAGCAGCCGAGTACTTTTCCGTTTCCTTTGACTGCACTTGTTGGGGTTGCACAACGATCATAAACACGATCATCATCATGAACTCCTCAAGTGCCAAAGTACACTTCAGAAATCCACAACAACACAGACCAAAGAAAATCATTTATTTTACAGTTGCTCTGACTTGTACTGGATGTCATTTAGGTCTGTCGCAATAAACAATAAATCAATTAATCGCATGATAAATGAAAATTATCAACCTCGTGTTCATTTATTGGCTTTATCATTTCTTTGTGTCTCTCTCTTTCTACTGAAGACACTGGATGACAAAAGGCTCAACTCCGGTGCTCTTCACTGACCCTTCCCTTTCTCTTTAAATCTGTTTTAATTGTCCAAAATCACGTTTTTGTATCATTAAAGCAGCTAAACTGAGAAGCTAAGCTACAAGCTAAGCTAACAGGCCGACCTCAGAAAAAAATCTCCGTCTTGTCGAAGCTCCAAAATTCACGGTTGGAACCCGTGTCTTTGTGTAAAAAGTTGTTTTTCTCTGCAAAAAGAAGCTGAGAACTTGTTTACTGATTTTTATTAAAAGCTTTGTGTGACAAATGTTATGCTAAAGAGCTCAAATCACACCGAGCGTCCGCCATTTTGAAAACCGAAAATAAAGGAAGGCGAGAGAGACAGCCCATGTCACATCAAGGGGTCTCCCTCCCATTTTTCTTAGAGACACGCTGCTCGCTCCCTCACTATCCATCCTTCGGTTCGCACAGTCTTATACTGCCATCCGGTGGTTGAAAAAGGTACTACACTCAAAACAAATCAACATTTCTTCATAAATTTGACAATAATTACTAATTATTGTCAAATTTCAAACAATATTATCATTTTCGCAATAATTTTTGAGACAATCGCCCAGCAAAATTATCATGACAGGCCTAATGTCATTTACAGTATCTAATTGTAGCAAACTAAGCTTCCTTTTTATATTTTTAGGCAACATGAAAAGCACACGCTGATTTAAGCTGTTTGTGACCTGTTAGTGGAATCCTTCAGAGCGAGGCCGAGGTCCAGCACTGCACCAGGCTTGGGTGTCCATGTCTTGACTTCTGGTGCAAGCTTACTGATCAGGGCATTGAGGTCCTCTGCACTGTTTTTAACATTTGTATCCTTAATGTACCTTTGGACACACACGGGGACAGTAGACAAAGACAAACAGACACTTTTAGAACAATAATCACATTTATACATTAATAATTAGCAGTCATGGTTCCTTTTAAAACATTAACATGCTAAACTAGCTAACATGGATCTTTGTTTATTTATCAACCTTTATTTAACCAGGCAAATCTCACTGAAATCACCAATCGCTTTTGCAAGGGAGGTGTTGGACTTCAAGCAGCTTAACATACAGTAAATGTTTTTGAACTGGATCTACTGTGACATTACAGTACTACAGACTGCCGGTCACTCGACTCAGTGCTTTATTACCCTGGCCTTTAATATATCATCCATTAGTACTGTACAAACACTAGCTAAAACACTGAAACTCAACTTGTCTGATGGATGAGCCTCCACAAAATAGCCAGCAAATGGGCAGTAGATCCTGGGCTGCAGGGATTTGACCAGCAGAGCTTTGTAGTTCAGTAACTTTTTCCTTTCGTTTTTGATGAACTCTGCTTTCCAGGAATCTGAGGACAGGGAAACAGTGAAACTGCATTCAGTGTCATAGAAGTGACTCAAAGGACAAGGTATTTTACGATCCCTATTTTTATGACCGTTATCGCTTCTTATCGAACTCCTAGCACCAAATGAGTGTGACGATCGTTAACAAGTGTGGCTGGTGAAAATTAAAGCAACTCTGTCCACTATGCCACTATCTCAGGCAGGATTTGACCTCTGGAATAAGGACCTCTGATGTTAGGCAGGGCTACACCCCAACTAGTCTGTGAATCTTATTAGGTTAAGGCTCTATGAGCACTAAGACTTGGACCTTTTAAAAGAGGTGGCAGCCCAGACCCCTGTCCTGGGACCCTTGAGGATTAACTGATTTCATATTTAACTTTCTTGGTTCAACATAGCCCATTTACCTCCTCTGCACATGACCACATCATCTTGATTCTAGGTCTCAGGATGTGACCCAGACCCTGGGCCTGTGATCAGGGGCTTCACTGAATGGTGTGAGTCTTCCTTTTTAAAGTTAAATGTTTCTTAGACAAAGGAGATGGTCATTGATTTTGGAAAAGACTGCGGTTACCTCTCCTGTGGTCATTAACGGTGAAGCTGTTGAGGTGGTGCATCAGTATAAATATCTGAGAACTGTTCTTGATGACAAACTGACCTTTGATACACATGTGAACCCACTTTGTAAGAAGGCCCATCAGAGAATGTATTTTTATTGGAAGCTCTGTGGGTTTAATGTTGATCCAACTTTTATGAGAATGTTTTGAGTCTCTTTTAACTCTTACCTTGGATTGGTTTGGATTTTGACATGCAAAAACAGGAACAAACTCTCGGGGATTGATTGTCAGGATGTGCAGCAAAACTGCTGGCATAGTCCTACAGAACCTCACTGACCTACACAAGGCGAGGTCAGTGAACAAGGCCAGGCTGATTCTGGCAGATCCTGATCATCCACTTCATGGTGAGTTCAGGTTGCTTCCATCTGGACGCAGGTATCTGCTGCTCAGATGTCGAACGAGCAGACTGAAGAACTCATTCATCCCTGTAGAGATCAGGCTTCTAAATGAACAGTGATGATTTCTGTACTGATGTTTTAATGTCTCAGTGTCTTGTCTAGTATGGATGCTTTGTGTGCCTGCTAGCTGTGGAACAAATTACCCCTTGGGCATAATAAAGATTCTTGAACTTGAACTTTATATAAATCACACAGTATAACCCTAAATTCCCTCCTCTTTGGGCTGTAGAGTAATCCTGTTTGCACATATTTGCTGGGGCAGCTGTGACTGAGTGGTTAGAGCAGTCGTCCTCCAATGGGAGAGTTGGGGGTTCGATTCCACCAGCAGTCACATGTTGAAATGTCCCTGGGCAAGACACTGAACCCCTCATTGCCTTCGATGTGTGTCCCATCAGTGTATGAGTGTGATCTAAAGCACTGATTAGTCTTCGTAAAGATCTAGTATAGTGCTGCATGAATGGATAAATGAGGCACAGATTGCGTTGTAAAGAGCTTTGAGTATCTTGATCAGATATAAATTATTTAAACAAGTACAGTCCATTTACAATTTACGCTTCAGTGGTTGTGTATTTGTCAGTCAGTTCAGTCCTGATGGCAGCCATTGCATTTAATGCTGTTTATGTTGTGTGACACTCTATTATACGGTTAATGCTGTTTTTATCTGTGGCATTTTTTTTTTTTTTTACTGTGCTGTGTATCAAAGTCTTACACAATGACTTAATCCTCACCAGTGTATTTCCCCCCATAAAAGGCCATGGGGAATCCAGATGCCCCCCCAGCAAAATCACTCATCATCAAGTCCACATTCTGTGGTAGTTTGCCCCCATTAGGCCTGGTGCAGTCCACAGTGTTCAGGATCATGTGACCTGCAATCAAAAAGATTTTGAAAATCTATTTATGCTTATTGTTTTCATTCAAAGAAATTTAGAATGTCAAATATTAAACACACCCTTATAGTCGACAATGATGCAGGTGTCCATTTCAGGATGGACACCATCCATCAGAATCATGAATCTCAAGTTCTCGTCAACCTGTCAAAGTGAGATAGGAAAAGGTTAATATTTCATAGCAACATCTATTTTTTTTTGTGTGTTTTTGCATTAGGAAATGATTTTAATCCTTTATATATACTAAAATAAAACTGCATTTCAGCTTACATTTTGCCAAACACCAAAAGGAGTGACATTAATATTGGTCAGTTTGACTTGACTTTGCTCCAAATACCTGTTAAAATGAAGCACAGGAAAGGTCGTATGAACAAATACAAACACACGTAAAAATTAATTTTTAGAATAAGACAACTTTAATTTTTTTTTTATTTCTAACCAGGCAAATCCCATTGAGATCACAGACCTTTCTTACAAGGGAGGCCTGAAGTTAGTCTAAACATGGAGGTTTTTAGGCTGTAGGAGAAAACCGGAGTACCCGGAGAAAACTCAAACAAACACGAGATCATACAAACTCCACACAGATCCTTTCTGTTGGGAGGCTACAGCGCTAAGCACTAAGTCTAATTTTAAATAAGTACAATTAATTCAATCCTTTCATCTATCAAACATTCAGCTCATTCAAGAGATAAGAGCTTGCAACTTTTATATTTTTCAAAAAATATTTTCCTATGGAGATAAATGAAGATCTCTTCATTTTAAAAACTTTGTTCTTTTAAAAATCTGCTGCAGCAAAACTTCCTTTTTTTTTTGTCTTCCTATGCTACTTTCAGCTGTCCGTGACTGTTTTGCTTCTTTTAGCTTTTATGTATCCTTTTGGCACATTTAGGTTGCTTTTAACAACTTCCATTTAACTTTTGACTACTTTTAGCTTGTAGCTTACATTTTGGCTAGCCTTTTGTACTTTTAACAAACCTTTTGCTTCAAATTACCCTTTTGCTTCTTTTAGCAAGGCTATTTTTTTTTTGCTTTTAGCTAGTATATTGTTACTTTTTGGTTTTAGTTACTTTTAGCTTTCAATTAGCTTTTAACTTACTTTGAAATACTTTTAGCTAGTTTTTGCTACTTTTATTTAGTCTTGTTCCTGGAGCTCAAGCCCAGGTTGCGTCAGGAAGGGTACATGCTGTAAGTAATTGCCAAATCTTTCATGCGAGTTCACTTGCTGTGACAACCCCTGCAGAAGGAAACAGCCGAAAACAATTCTTTAGTCCTGCTACCTTTGGTGTTTACTATCACATTGCTACAGTTAGCGTTTAGTTATGTTTTGCTATAAGTACCTAAAAAAGAAGCATAAAGTAGCAAAAATTGTGTAAAGATAAACAAAAGCCAAAACATCAAAAAGCTAGCTCAAAGGCTAGCCAAAAATAGCAGTAAAAGCTATAAGTAGCATTTTGGTACTTTTAGCTAGCCTTCTGCTGTTTTTATTTATAATATTAAAATTATAGTTTCTACTTTCAGCTTTTAAGTTTTTTGCGACATTTTGGGCTAGCCCTTTGTATTCTTAGCTAGCATTTAATTACTTTTAGTTTTTTTGCTCCTTCTAGTTAGATTTGCAGCACTTTATGCTTCTAGCTTGACTTAAGAGGATTTAAGCGACATACTTTCAAGTAATCCTATACTATTAGTAGCTAAACCCTAACCTATTCCAGCTTTGTGCTACCTTTAGTGTTTAGGACTTTAGCTGCTTTAAACTAAATTTAAATTGTACTTGTGTTTTATTACTTTTGCCTTATTTTATGCTAATAGACTTTTATTGCTTTTGGCTAGTGTTTTGCTCTTTTAGGTTTTAGCTTGTGTTCTGCTTCTTTTGGTTTGTGGCTAATGCTTTTCTTCTTTTATCTTTAAAACGTCAGTTCAGCTTCTTCACTGACACATAATTTATCAGAAAACCATATTTCTTGAGTTAAATATAATTTGTTCTAGAATATGTAACAAATAAAGCTTTGTCTCGCCACTAACCAAAAGACGGGTCTGGAGGTCGCACCAACATAAATAGGGACGTTTGGCCTCCTCTCTGACAAGACCTTCAAAGTAGGATAACTGAAAGAGAAACAGCAGATTGAACAACTTTTAGGCTTTTGCAAATTCTTTGTAGTGAAAAACTGAAAAATTATATCTGAAGATCAAATGAGTCATCCTTTGCAGTTCATAGCACTATATATACTGTGTGTATATACAAAGTATATATATATATATATATATATGTGTGTGTGTGTGTGTGTGTGTGTGTGTGTATGTATATATATATATATATATA